CGCCATTCGGTAGTAATGTGCGCTCAGATCTAAGCTATCTGGGGATATGTAGAATGTCCATGTTTTATGGAATAAATGTAACTGTATGTAATTGTATGTCTTTTATTGTCCTTTGTCTGCCGTGTGGTTAATGGAGTCTTGCCTCTGTCCTTGGAGATAATTTGATTACTTCACAATTATCTCCTGGACAGAGAGGAGGGATTGTGATGTAATCGTGGGTGTGTTTTACGGTTCCCCTGTAACGATTGGTTGTACTGTGTCCCACCCTGTGGGATGTCCCCTTGCATGTGGGCTTGCATAAAAGCCAGTGTGTGGCCATTACAGAGAGTTCCTGCTTAACCCTCACAGTGAAGTGTCGTCTCATTATTGGGGGAGGATTTACTGTATGCTGTTAGAGACTGATTGCCAGGAGTGTAAGCCGCTTGGGGGCTTTTCCTGTTCGTCTGCTAGCAGCTATTCGTGTGTCTCCAGTTCGGGAGTTTTGAGAATTCCCTTGGTATGCAGTTCGGGAGTTGGTGAATTTGTGGGTTTGCAGTTCAGGAGATTGGTGCTTGCAGTAGCTGTCGGTGCAGCTGAAAAAGGGGAATATCGCCTAAACGGTTTTTAACCTCTTTTGGGCAAAACGGTCCGTTACAATTGGTGGCAAGCGACGGGATCATTTCCACAGCCCAGAAGGACAGCTATAATACAACACCAGTTCCTGGATTACAAATTGAGGGCAACGCCAGTACCCGTACAGCGACCCTATGTACAAAAGAACCAACTTCAGCAGCGCAAGCATGGCACCCAGCTACACTCAGGAGCAGTATGACAGAGAGTTTACCATGCGGCTGGCTTTCTTTGGACCCAACCCCCCGGAGAAATACGTGCAGTTCGTGAGGAGACAGGTAGAAGAGCATAGGCGTGCGCACGGGGTGTGCCGGGTGTGCCTGGGCACACCCTAATCCCCGCGGCACGCCTATGTGTATTGAGACCGGCAGGGGAGATCTCAGGATCTCCCCTGTCGGCTCATGCAGAGCCGGCGCTATCCGAGCGCCGGCTCTGCTCTCAGCCTCCCTCCCCACTGACCCACATGCAGGGAGGGAGGCAGGAGAGGACCGGCGGAGCTATTGCCGGCAGCTCCGCCGGGTTCCTCTCGCGAGATATGAGCGTTGCCACGGCAACGCTCAAATCTCGCGAGAGTGAACTCTAGCCCCACAGGGGCTAGAGTTCACTCTCCACTGGACCACCAGGGATCACAGCAGCAAGGATCCCCTCCTCCACTGGACCACCAGGGAAGGAAGCAGCAGCACGATCCCCCCTCCCTACAAAAGGTAAGAAGGGAGGGGGGATAGCAAATAATGTACCCCCACCTCCACCCCCCACAATCACCCACCCACACACATACAACACACATACAGCACACCCACACATACAGCACCCACAGACATACAGCACCCACAGACATCAGCACCCACAGACATACAGCACCCACAGACATACACAACACCCACAGACATACACAACACAACACCCACAGACATACAGCACCCACAGACATACAGCACCCACAGACATACACAGCACCCACAGACATACACAGCACCCACAGACATCCAGCACCCACAGACATACACAGCACCCACAGACATACACAGCACCCACACACATGCAGCACCCACAGACATACACAGCACCCACACACATTCAGCACCCACATACATTCAGCACCCACAGACATACAGCACCCACAAACATACACAGCACCCACAGACATACACAGCAAGCACCCATACACAGCACCCACACACATACAGCACCCACAGCACTCACAGACATACACAGCACCCACACACATACAGCACCCACAGACATACACAGCACCAACACACATACAGCACCCACACACACATACAGCACCCTCACAAACACACACAGCACCCTTACACACAGCACACAAACAGCACCCTCACACACACACAGCACACTAACAGTACCCTCACAAACACAAACAGGACCCCAACAAACACACACAGCACACTACCAGTACCCTCACACACAAACAGCACCCTCACACACAGTACATTAACAGCACCCCCACAAACACACACAAACCGCACCCTCACACACAGTACATTAACAGCATCCTCACAAGCACGCACACACAAACACCCTCACCCACATAGCACACTACCAGCACCCTCACACAGCACACACACACACACAGCAGTGTGTGTATGTGTGTATATATGTGTGTATATATATATATATATGCGGCGTGTGCTTGTGCTTTAGGGTGCACACCCTAATGCAATAGGCTGCGCACGCCTATGTTCAGCACCAACACACATACAGCACACACATACAGCACCCACAGACATATACAACACCAACACACATACAGCACCCACAGACATACACCGCACCAACACACATACAGCACCAACACACATACAGCACCCACAGACATACACAGCACCAACACACATACAGCACCCACAGACATACACAGCACCAACACACATACAGCACCCACAGACATACACAGCACCAACACACATACAGCACCCACAGACATACACAGCACCAACACACATACAGCACCAACACACATACAGCACCCACAGACATACACAGCAACAACACACATACAGCACCCACAGACATACACAGCACCAACACACATACAACACCCACAGACATACACAGCACCAACACACATACAACACCCACAGACATACAAAGCACCAACACACATAGAGCACCAACACACATACAGCACCCACAGACATACACAGCACCCACAGACATACACAGCACCCACAGACATACACAGCACCAACACACATACAGCACCTACAGACATACACAGCACCTACAGACAAACACAGCACCTACACATATACACAGCACCCACAGACATACTGCACCCACACACATACACAGCACCAACACACATACAGCACCCCCACACACATACAGCACCCTCACAAACACACACAGCACCCTTACACATAGCACACAAACAGCACCCTCACACACAGCACACAAACAGCCCCCTCAAACACACACACAGCACACTAACAGTACCCTCACAAACACAAACAGGACCCTAACAAACACACACACAGCACACTACCAGTACCCTCACACACAAACAGCACCCTCACACACAGTACATTAACAGCACCCTCACAAGCACACACACACAAACACCCTCACCCACATAGCACACTACCAGCACCGTCACACACACATCACACTAACAGCACCCTCACACAGCACCCTCACACAGCACACACACACACACAGCAGTGTGTGTATGTGTGTATATATGTGTGTATATATATATATATATATATATATATATATATATATATACACATATATATACATACATACATATATATATGCGGCGTGTGCTTGTGCTTTAGGGTGCACACCCTAATGCAATAGGCTGCGCACGCCTATGTAGAAGAGTACCTGCAGGTCGGAGCAGGGCGGACACGTGAGTTGGCAGGTTGGGAGAGACCCCAGTGGCCGAGCAAGTTACAGAGAGAGAAGCGTGTCGTCCTTCCTCCACAGCGGCAGTGTGTGTCCCAGGGAGCTGAAGGTGTCGTCCTTCCTCCCCAGCAGCAGTGTGTGTCCCAGGGAGCTGAAGGTGTCGTCCTTCCTCCCCAGCGGCAGTGTGTGTCCCAGGGAGCTGAAGGTGTCATCCTTCCCCCCCAGCGGCAGTGTGTGTCACAGGGAGCTGTTGAAGGTGCCGTCCTTCCTCCCCAGTGGCAGTGTGTGTCCTTAGGAGAGGAGACAGTTGGTCCCCCTCCCCAGCAGTTCAGCTAGTTACAGGGAGATGAAGGTGTCGTCCTTCCTCCCCAGCGGCAGTGTGTGTCACAGGGAGCTGATGACGGTGCCGTCCTTCCTCCCAAGCGGCAGTACGTATCCCAGGGAGCTGAAGGTGCCGTCCTTCCTCCCCAGCGGCAGTGTGTGTCCTTAGGAGAGGAGACAGTTGGTCCCCCTCCCCAGCAGTTCAGTGAGTTACAGGGAGATGAAGGTGTCGTTCTTCCTCCCCAGCAGCAGTGTGTGTCCCAGGGAGCTGAAGGTGTCGTCCTTCCTCCCCAGCGTCAGGGTGTAACTCCTTCCTCCCCAGTGGCAGTGTGTTCTGCAGGAAGCGGAGACAGTCGGTCTCGCGCCCCAGCAGCAGGACAATATATTAAAAGGGGAGACAGTTGGTCTCCCCCTCCAACAGCAGAGAGCGTGTCAGGGAGAGGAGCTTGTTACCCCCTCTCCCCAGCGGCTGAAAGTATGTATGGGAGAGGAGCTTGTCATTCCCTCTCCCCAGCGACAAAAAGTGGGTAAGGGAGATGAACTTGTTACCCCCTCTCCACAGCGGCAGAGTAGCCCACCAAGGAGAGACATTAAGCTCCCCACCAGCGCAGATGGGACTGTGGTCTCTGCGCCCAAGCTACAGGGAGTACGGACAGCCGGTCCGGCTCCCCAGCGGCAGAGTATGCTACCAGGAGGGGAGAATACTTCCCAGCGGCGGCCTAGTCCACCAAGGGGAGATGAGAAGCCCCACAACCATGCAGATGGGACCGTGGTCTCTGCACTTACAGCACAGGGGGTAGGGAAGGTCGGTTCTGGCCCCCAGCGACAGGGTTGTTTAGCCAAAGGGGAGACAGCCGGTCTCCCCCTCCAGCAACCAGGCTCCAACCAGACTACTTCCGTGGTAGTGCTGGCATCAGGACAGAGTACCGCTGGTCTCTGCCCACTCAGCAACCCACCCAGTCCGCTTACCAGTCACCCACACAGCCATGGTGAGGTGCCTGGACATGGACAACGTTCTCCTCTACCCAGGTGTAGTAACCAGTTCTTGTGGGTGGGCTGTATTACTGATTGTGTTTTGTGGGTGGGCTGCTGGACTAACAAGGGCACTGACCAGCATGAGGTCAGATACCCTGTTAGTCTGATTGGTAAATGGGAGAAGTGTGGCAAAACCAACCTCGCCACTGTACACTGGAGAAGCCTGGTTGCTCACCTGCTCCCTTTAGACTATGGTCCTGCATTTTAAACTTTTATTTTACCGGCAGAAAGGTTTATTCATGCCTTTCTGTGGACTGTTAAAGCCATGCTACCCCAGATAGCTATGCCATGGAGCCCAGCCGTATACTGAAAGACTGTATGAAAGACTTTGGCTCCATGGCGATTGAACTGTATGTATGTGATCTGAGCGCCATTCGGTAGTAATGTGCGCTCAGATCTAAGCTATCTGGGGATATGTAGAATGTCCATGTTTTATGGAATAAATGTAACTGTATGTAATTTTATGTCTTTTATTGTCCTTTGTCTGCCATGTGGTTAATGGAGTTTTGCCTCTGTCCTTGGAGATAATTTGATTACTTCACAATTATCTCCAGGACAGAGAGGAGGGATTGTGATGTAATTGTGGGTGTGTTTTACGGTTCCCCTGTAACGATTGGTTGTACTGTGTCCCACCCTGTGGGATGTCCCCTTGCATGGGGACTTGCATAAAAGCCAGTGTGTGGCCATTACAGAGAGTTCCTGCTTAACCCTCAAAGTGAAGTGTCGTCTCATTATTGGGGGAGGATTTACTGTATGCTGTTAGAGACTGATTGCCAGGAGTGTAAGCCGCTTGGGGGCTTTTCCTGTTCGTCTGCTAGCAGCTATTCGTGTGTCTCCAGTTCGGGAGTTTTGAGAATTCCCTTGGTATGCAGTTCGGGAGTTGGTGAATTTGTGGGTTTGCAGTTCAGGAGATTGGTGCTTGCAGTAGCTGTCGGTGCAGCTGAAAAAGAGGATTATCGCCTAAACGATTTTTAACCTCTTTTGGGCAAAATGGTCCGTTACAACAGGGATTCCTACTTCTCCTGTATTGCCCTCCCAGTGCTCCCATATAAGGCCCAGGGGGCCCCAAACTTTTCTCCCGTATAGGTGTTTGAAGGGGGAGAACCCGGTGGACGCCTGGGGCACTTCTCGGTAGGCAAACAGGAGATGAGGAAGAAACTGTTCCCAGTGTCCACAGGACTCTGTGAACGCCATGAGCATTTGCTTAAGTGTGCCATTGAAGCGTTCACAAAGGCCGTTGGTCTGGAGATGGAAGGGAGAGCTAAACAAGGGCTTTACACCGCAGCTCTGCCATTACTGTTGGGTCACAGTTGCGGTGAACTGAGTTCCCTGGTCAGACAGGATCTCCTCGGGGAAACCTACTCTAGAAAAGATTTTGACCAGAGCGTCTGCTACGGTTTCTACCTTGATATTGGAAAGCGCTACAGCCTCTGGGTATCTAGTGGCATAGTCCACTACCATGAGGATGTAACTCTTTCCTGAGGAGCTGGGTTTGCTGAGAGGTCCTATCAGGTCTACCGCTACTCAGTAGAATGGCTCTTCTATTATGGGCAGGGAGCAAAAGTTAGCCTTAGGGTGGTTACCCCTCTTTACTATACTCTGGCATGTATCACATGTCCTACAGTAAGTCTGTATATCTTTAGATATACCAGCCCAAAAGAACGTCTGGGTGAGGCAGTCCTTAGTCTTCTTCACACCCAGGTGTCCTGCTAAGGGGATATTGTGGCTAAGTTTAAGGAGTTCTGCTCAGTATGTGCTCCCCTATCCTCTCTTTCATGGGTCTGATGGTCTCTTCCACATATACATACCCACAAGGACACTTTAGGATGTTCACTACAAAGTCAGAATTACATGTATAGAAACCATTGACTGGGAATTTTTTGCCGGATCTCGGATGAACAAAGTGTTCCCCCTTGATCACACTGCTATAGTATGAGAAACCTAGACAAGGGAAGGTACCCTTTTTGGGTTCAGAAAAAAACGTGGTCTGCCTTTTTGAACTGCCAATGTCTGATTTAACTAATAAATCTCTAAGATTGGGTGCCCCTTGGTATGAAAAAAGTGGGGGATTCTGAAATTCAAAGGGCAATTGTGTATCCCCTGCAAAAAGTTGCCAGTGTTTCCTGATAATTCTGCGTAAATCTCTGTTGATCAGAGTATATGGAGATATAAATGCTATTCTGTCCATCCTATTCTATTTAGCAGGACCATATAAAATGTCCTAATGTTTCAGATTCTGAACCCTTTCTCTCTGTGTTTGTATGGTTTGTGCAGGGTAACCCCTTTCCATAAACTTCTGTGACATGAAGTCCAATCCTGTCATCACTTTCTCTTCTTGTGAGATTATTCTTTTGACCCTAAGTAACTGAATGTATGGTAAACCATTCTTCAAATGTGTGGGATGGTAACTCTCATACATAAGCAAATTGTTCCGGTCAGTTGGTTTAATGTAAAGATCACTATATAGTTGGTCATCTAGTCTACCCACTTGGACATCTAAGAATGGGACTGTCACCTTATCACAGTACATGGTAAACTTGATGTTAGGGTCTTGTTCATTCAGTGAGTCAAAGAACTCCTGTAGTTGGGCCCTACTGCCACCCCAACATACGAACACATCATCAATATAACATCTCCACACCAAACACTTGGTGTAAATGGGATGATTGTAGATGCATGTCTCTTCTATATGATTCATATAGATATTGGCGTATGTTGGGGTGACATTAGAGCCCATGGCTGTGCCCTTGATTTGTTTATAATAATTATCCCCAAAGAGGAAATAATTTTCAGTTAGTATGAATCTCAGGAGTTCAATCATGTACTTCCCAGTGTCTCTTTGCTGTGCTAGGTTCGGGTCCCTATCCAGTGTCCAGTCTGTGGCATCTAACCCTCTCTGATGTTCTATTGAGGTATATAAGGATTGGACATCCATTGTCATCAACCAGAAATCCCCTTCTGGTACTTGGATGTTGTCTAATAGTTTTAGAAATGGCGTAGTATCCTTAATATAAGACCTTTGTGAAGGTACATATTTAATGAGGAATTAGTCCAAAATTTTAGCAGGTTGTTGCAATATAGATCCTGTCCCACTTACAATTTGCCTGCCTGGGGGGAAAAGTGGATTTTTATGGATTTTGGGGAGAGTATAAAAGACTGGGATCTTTGGATACTTTACATTCATATACTTAAACTCTACCTCCGAAATGATTCCTTTGGATAAAGCCTACTTATTCAGTGTATCTAATGTTCGTTTAAGAGTGTGTGTTGGATCTTGTGGAATGGGTAAATAGTTCATATTGTCCCTAAGTTGTGTTTCTATTTCTTTAATGTAGTATATACGGTCCATGATTACAAGTGCACCCACCTTGTCGGCTGGTTTTATCATGATGGATCGATCCATCTTTAAGTTATTAATGTTAGACCAATTTCGTTTAGTAAAATTAATATTTGCCCTATTGCCTCTATGTGTGTGATTGTATTTTTTTCTTAATTTGTAAACATCTCTTTTCACCAAATTAGTGAATATGTCTATCGAGGCATTCACACTATGGGGAGTGAACGTGCTCTTGGGTTTCAAACCTGTGTTGAGGGAAAGGACCGAATCTTGTTCACCCTGGGAAGATTGTAACTCTGTGACTTCTGTGTTCCCTTCCTCCCGGGATTGTGGTTGTGATGTAATGGTCAATGGGCTGTTCTACCTCAATGGGCCAGCTTGTCTCACTATTGTGTCGGATTTGTTAGTATATGTAGAGAAAAAGGACCGTAATTTTAATTGACAGAAAAATTTGTACATGCTAACATCATATTCATGCCAATGTATTCTTGGAGTGGGGATAAAGGAAAGTCCTTTATTAAGAGTATATTCCTCTTCCTTTGTCAGTTGCCTAACTGAAATGTTGTATATCAGGCATGGCACCTGGATAGGGGTGGTCTCCCTTTCCTTCTCTCCATCGTTCCTCTTGTTGTAACCCCCCCTCCTGACTGGTCTTCGTACAGTGTATCCCTCTCTAAAAAGGTTGTCCTTGATAATGATATGACAGAGGAGGAGGATGTATCTCCCTCCGTATCTGAACGTCATCTGTGTTTTTTTACGTCTCTGTTTGGTCTGTATTGTCTGCTATTCTTCCTGTGATACCAGGTGTATACCTGATCTTTCTGATAATCAACTGCGTCTCTGTGAAATTTTTTCTTTTTATACTCCTCTGTTTTTCTCTGATATTCCTTTAGTTTTTCTTCAATCTGTTTTTTAAGGGTGTCTTAATCCATCTGTGCAGTCACAATTTCCAATTCCTGTTCCACTGTTGCTATTTCTTTAATTAGTTTAGCTAATTCTTTCTGTAAAGACTGAATTGTTAGTACCATTAAATCCACTGAACATTTATTTAGAATCTTATACCAGGTGTTACAATGTTCAATGTTATCCTTACAAAGTGTAGGGTGTAACCTCACCCTAAGGCCTCTGGGGATTCTTTTCTGTCTAAGGTATTCACTATTCACCTAGAGTAATTATGTATAATTCCCAACGAACGTTTCTCTTCAGATATCTTTCTAGTTTATTGGCTATCCCTCGTTCATTATCATTGGTCAAAAATTCTCTAGCACCTCTTAGTGCCGATGTTGTACGGTTTATGTCTCCTTTTGTATAAGCAAAAGTCGCCATAGACAATTTAAAGAGAAGAAATCATCAGTGTTAATAAACTACTGAAATATACTCTATACTTCAATCTGGAGCTAAAGTTAATATAGTAAAGGTGCTCAAACACTGGGGAAAAAATATACAAGATTATTGATTGTGTTGGTGCAGGTATTAGAGGTATTCCCCATCAAGACCTCAATAATATATACAAAAAACATAAATGAAATACCGCACTCATATGCATAACCATATGCATAAAAAAGAGAGTCTCTATTCAATATGCAAAAAAAGTGAAATTGATTTATTATACACTGGTTGTCTATATTAGTTCATCAACAACATGTAAATCACTATTGTATTTGTCACTTCATAAATGGTACACAAATAAATCACTATTGTATTCTGATGATACACACTGGGGAGGTGTATTTTGTGCCATGGTGCCAAGGTGTCAAGCCGCTAATTAAATTACCTGCTCAGGTACAGACACCAAGGCACTGGGGATATTGCTATCCAATTGTTCACCTTGGGGACCACCTATTAAGACCCCATGTATAAAAGGTGACATTGTGTGCTCATAAATTAGTTCTACTCCCAACATTAAGACTTATCGAATGTATGGGGGGGAGGCTATACTACTATAGCTAAAATCAGTGAAGCTACTCTGGAGAGCTATAAACAGTTAGGGAAAAGGAGCCTCTGGTGGTCCGCCATATATATATATATATTTTGCAATACACTGAAAGAAGCATTTTCCCTTTATCTAGTTCACA